ACCACAGGCTCTCTGTCTAGTTTCTGAGAGCTGGAGATATTTTTTAAACATCAACACTAACATGAGAGCAAGGCTGATCCTCTTAACCCTGCTGGTTTTGTACCCTGACCAGCGCCTCTCACTGAAGCTGAGTTTGACGCCTTCCATAAGATCTGGCCAGGAATGCCCTATGAACACCAAGCCTCGGGTGGTCATTCCAGCTTGGGGAACAAGACAGAGGTGCATTCACCCCAGCCAAAGAGACCCTACAGCTAAGGGTCATGTCCTGACCCAGTGACCAGTCTGACGAATATGGAATTTATCGATAAGAACGAGCAGTGCGTGATGCCCTGCCCTGAGTAAGAACAAAAGCATGGAAAAGAGGGACCAAGACGAAGAAGCACTGTGTATGAATCCAGAAGAAAACGTCTGTTTTTGAAGTCATTTTCTGAAAGACATTGAGAAGTTACAGTATGCATAAAATATTACCGCCCATGTGTATGTCAGTCATACCCGCAGACTGGGTATGCTAACTTGACCACCACAGGGTGTCACAATGACACAACAGCCAGTTATATATGCTCAAATGCATAGTTTATTGAAGGGCAATTCATATTCAACACACAGACAGTAATAAGAAGGGGGGTAACGAACCACAGCAGTGGCTCAGAAGACCTATGCACTGACAGCCAAGTTGAATGAGTCCAGAAGTCAATGACGACAGACAGTGGGGATTATTGCTTCTCTCAGCGCCAAGATGGCAAAAGGCTGAGGGAAGGCTGTTCATTGCTGCTTTTATGCTCCTCCCAGGTGGGTCTGTTCTCACGATCTTGTCTCCCTTTCACTCTGTGTCAGTTTATTTCAGATCCCAGGTGGTACCAAGCAACAACAGGTATTATCACGTCAGTCCTTTACATATATGTCAATTACCCCAAGGAGAGGTGATGCCACTGTGGGCTTAATGCTACTTGGCATGCGTAACTCCATTTTGAGACATTAGGATCACAGGTCATCACTCTATATCATGAGGAAATACTGCTGTGTAAAATGTTAAATCAGAGAACAAGAAAGAGTTCCTACAAAGGAAAAACACAATTGCCAAAATAAGAAAATAAAAGAGCTGAATAGCAGAAAGGGCACAGCTGAAGAATGAATTACTGATCAGAAGATGTAGTCATGCCATCCTATCAAAACACTGAGCCCAAATGTAAAAATGTACAGATTAAAAGTTTCAAGTAAAGACATCGGTGAAAAATGCACAGTCACAACAATATCTACCTAATATATATTCAGAAGGAGAACTAGAGAGGAAATTAAATCAAGAAAATTGTAGAAGAAAATTTCCCTGAGATGAAAAAAAAGGAAAAAGAAATCTTCTGATCAAGTCTGGTATGAAATGGGAGTATCAAAAGGATATAAGTAGACATTTGTTGCCAGGATGGTTAACTGTGTTCCTTTTGAGACCTGGGATAATTCTGTATTTAAATTTAGCTTTAAAAGAGCAAGAACTACTTCAATTCTTTTCTTTTCACTAAATGCACACAATTTCTGCCTGGAGCATTTTTAAAATCTGCCTGATTTACTCAAATAAGGCATCAATCCATTTTATTCTGCTTTTAGCAAACATCTGGTGCAGGACAATATGGCGCCTGGATAATCACTCAACATTTGCTAGTTAACTAAGAAACACTAACAGTCTGTTTTATGCTTACGAGAAAGCTATGAACAATACTTTTCTTTGAGGCAGAGTGATTTGGAAATAAATTATAACCACACTGAGCTAACCACAAATGGAAAGATTTCTTCATAATAAAATATGTTGAGTCAGTTGCATTTAAGCAATGAATTTACAGCCACACATTCATTCAATAGTTCAGATTTCTTCACTTCATAAACCCTGGAATGTAATCCCTTCCTGTACACTTAGAAGATTCCATACGAAGTCTAATAAATGAGTAAAGAAAACAGCAGGGAAGGCAGCATATATTCATATACAAAATAAACATTGGCTCTGGGAAGCATTCTCCTAAATATTTATTGTAATATATTCTTTCTTGATGTCTTACTAGAGTTTTTTCCTTCCCTATTAAAATTTGATTCTATCTTCTTGCCTAAGGGCTGGGAAAAATGGAGACAGAGCCATGACAGATAGATAATAGCCTAAAGTGGAGAAGATTTTGTTAATTGTTGCTATTGTTGCTTGAAGGAAATTAAATATAGTTTGCCCCAAGTTTCATGTTTTACAAAAACATTCTCCCGATAAGTACATTTCAATGCCCCAGATGAATTTACAAAAAACGAATCAGGGTAACAAACCCTGGTGACTCCCAATGTATGTTCTCATAAAATGTTGGCTTCCAATAAAATGAAACTTAATAATAAGCTCTGAGACTGACTTATCTGATTTTGCCCCAAAGTAGAACAGGAAGTGCTAGGCCGGAAAGGGGAAATTGAAAACCAAATCCCCTAATTAGCTATCTGGACAAAATTAAACAGACTAAATGGTTTTTCTCCTTTAGAAACAGTCTGCCTGCTCAGTCCCTGAGATTTTGTTTCATAGATTCCTGATTTACTCTGATAGTTCACATTCTCCCCCCAAAACAATCCTTATAGCAGGAACTGCTGTTGTCAAGATGATGAGAAAGATGGGTTCACTGTATTCCACTCGCTGTCAGACCAGCATTCCAAACACAATGAAAGCCAAGCCATTTGAAAATATATCTTCCTGACACATTTTTGTTGACAATGAAGACGGGTTAAACTTTATTTGTATGTTGCTATAATTGACTAATTGAAAGCATCTGATTTGCATTGATTCTCCCCACACTATTTACTGAGAACCTATGGGGTATGAAGCACTGTGTGAGACCTCTGGATATGGCAATCAATGAGGTAGAGCAGTTCCCTGCCTAAGGAGAACTTTCATATCTAATAAGGAATACAAAGAGGGAACCCGTATGCCCCATGGAAAAATGCACTTCACCTAAATTTAGGATGCTGTGGAGAGCTCCTAGAAGTAACCTCTACCCTTGGACGGGGGTCCTCAGCTTTGGTACTATTAACATTTGGAGCCAGTTAATTTTGTGATGTTGGAGCTGGCCTGTATATAGGATGTTTACCAATATACCTGAACTTTGCTTATTAGATGCCACAATTTGGTGACAATCAAAATATCTCTAGACATTGCCAAATGTCCCCTAGGGGACAAACTTATTCCCAGTTAAGACCACTGTTTTAGGTGGAAGATGAGGGAAGTTGTGGGGTAATGGAGAAGAAAGGAGTAGTAGGGTGGGAGACAAGACCTGAGAGGTTAAGAGGGGATCACTAGCACCAAGGTCCCTAAGACAGCAAAGATTAATGGCCCCATAGAGGTGGGTGGGTGGCAGGTGTTAAGCTTGATATGAGAATGAAAAGGTAACTAAAGTCATAACCTAAGGATCCTTATAAATCATTATCAGCTTGGAGTTGGTATTAATTATCCCACTGCTATGGGCAATGGTTAACTTTATCTGTCAAATTAACTGGGCCATGGAGTGACCAGTTATTTACTCAGACATTATTCTGGGTATTTCTGTGGGAATGTTTTGAATGAGTTTAACATTTAAATCTATAGATTGAGTAAAGCAAATTGCTTCCCCTGATATTGATGGGCCTTGTTTAATCAGTTGAAGGTCTTCCCAGAATAGGAGGGAATTTTTCCCAGTCACTGACTTAAACTGGCACAAGGGTGTCATCCTGCCAATATTCTCAAGTTGAGAGTGAAGTTTGGAGTTGAAACTCCTCAGACTACTTTCTGTTCAAATAACATCTGCTTGCTGGGTCTCAAGCTTGCCGGCATTTGAACTGGAATCACACCACCAGCTCTGCTGGTTCTCAGACATTCACACTCGGACAGGCACTATACAAGCTCTTCTGAGTCTCTACCTTGCCAGCTGCAGATTGTAAAATTTGTCAGCTTCCACAGTCGCGTGAGCCAGTTGCTCATAATACACATGGGCAAATATAGAGAGAGACACATTCAGTTGGCTCTGTGGCTCTGGAGGATCCTAACTAATACACAGTATAACAAATCATCTCAAAACTTCTCCATTTAAAACAGCAAGTCTTCATTATCTTGACAGCCTTTTAAGAGTTCAAGAGTTTAGCCAGGAGGAGGAGTGTAGCCAGATGATTCTGGCTTGGGATCTCTCATGAGGTTTGATCTCAGCTCCCAGCCAGGCTGCAGTCTCTGAGACCTTGAATTGTTCTGAAAAGATCAGTGCCTAAGCCAGCTGTTCATGGGAGGCTTCAGCTCTTCCCTGTGTGGGCCTCTCCTTAGGGCTTCATACCACATTGCTTCTTCCAGGGCAGGTGAGCAGAAAGAAGATTCACGTTTAAAAAACAATTTGTATCCCTGAAATATTTTGAAATAAAAAAAATAATAAAGACCCCAAAATAATTATAAATAAATAAAAACAATAGCTCTGGCTTCTATTTAAATCCAGAAGCAAAAAGCAACAGAACTTGCCAATTATTTTGGATTGGAGCGTTGTCATCAATATGCAATTTGGCATTTAAGCCTCTGGTCAGTTAGAAAGTGCCTCCAATTAAAGAGGAAGTTAGTCTTTGAATCGATCACAATAACATGAAAGAAAGAAGTAAATAATTACACCAGCGAGTTATTAAACTAAATCTTGTCAGTGCAGTAGTGTGAAAACCAGAGGCCCAGAGTAGCTGAATGGTGGAACTTTCATCAAAGCTCAACAGACTTGGTCAGCCCGTCAGCCCTTACAAGACCTTTCCAAGGGGAAAAGGGGCCATTCTGAGTGTCTGAGGAGTCTCAACTCCAAACTTCACTCTCACCTTGAAAATACTTTATTGCCTCCTGGGATCTTGACCTTTTCTTAAATTGGGAGGTAGTAACAGTGACAAGTCTCATAGAGGTTCTTAAGGGAAATAAAAGAACCCAATACATCAATGTGTGCATACAAATGAAGTAAACATAGACACTTAAGACAAAAAGTCCAGAATCCCCAACTGGCATGATGCTTAAGGTGGTTTTAAGTATTTGCATGTATCATAGAAGATGTCTGTGTTTCCTTTTAGCTCTAGAAGACTGCTATAAACACCAATTACATAGACTATCCAGCCATAAATCACAGAATCTTATAATGTGATTGTTCTTACACAATGGCCGCCAAATATTCATCTTACCCACCCCTACCCAAATGCCCATCTTGATCTTTGGATGCAGAAATCCAGCCTTCTGCTGTAAACTGCCTTTGGAGTTCACTGATATAAAGATTGAAATGGTATCTTGAAACACACAACCACCATCTGTGCCAATGTTGAACTTGGTCTGAGTTTCAGCCCACTGTAGGCAACAGTTGGCTCATGCGTAGAATCCAAACATCCTCATGTCTCCATCCTTCCCACTTCCTCTTCCCTATATCACCCAACCAGATACAGTCATACCTCCCTTCCTTTGACTGTCGGTTAACCACTTAGGATAACCGAAAAGTACCTATGTTCCCCTGGTTGCTGCTGTCCACTTCCCCTCTGACTGGTACCCTGAGCTTCTCTCTCCAGCCCTTTTTATTCCATGCATAATAAACTTCCTCTGCCTTCATTCCTCAAAGCATGGCTAATACTAGGTTATGTTATAGAACATAACCTGGGGATATGAGGATAGTATTAGGGAATTGTTACATTGAAAAGAAAAGCTTCAATCTAGATATTTGATCTCACTCCTCCTCACATCTGTCTGTCTGAGTCCTTTCATGCAGAGTTTCCTGGCCACTTCCCCCTTGTAGCTCCTAGCCTATAGCCACAGCAAAACCCACAAGTCTTGGGGGGATCCCAATGACCCTAGTCTTGCTGTCTCTAGAACCCTAACATTCTTTCCCGACAGGCTTAAATGAAGAGGAGGAAAACTACCTAACTTCATCTGGAAGAACACTGCCTATCCACAGGAAAGACAACCTTTTGCATTTTTATGCAGTATAGTTGAGCTCCTTTTTCTAAAAGTTCTCCCTTCTATAATAGGTTGGTATAGAACCCCACACTCAAAAAATTTCCTTCACAGTTGAAATATAGTCTTACCCCCAAACAAAATCTACCACTATATTTACAAGAGCAGGTTCAGATTTTAAATAACTTGGTTATTGCACTATAAGTATAAATCAATTGGCTGTGACTAGGCAGCCCAAGGAAAGTAGCACTTGCTCAGAGGAGCAGAGTTAGGCCTGGGCAAGCCAAGCCACCATGATTGATTATAGCAGAAAGCTGAACAAGCTGTACTGAAGCAGATTCAGGCAATAGCAGAGAGGGAGAGAGGCAGGTGGGAACCCAGAAGCCAGGCAGAGACCCAGGAACGAGGGATGTGTAGATATGGAAATAGCAGCTCAGGAAGAAACAAGGGTACAAGCTGGGAAGTTGCAATTAACTCGCAATGCACTTCTAGGTTCCTAATCTCAAGCTACCAAGAACAACTGGTTAGCATATTTGACCTTGGACAATGGTGACCAGGCAGGTAATGTGGAAGGGATAAATGGGCATGTGCCTTAAATATTAAACATGCCACAGATTAATCTGAACAAATCCATGACTTAGAAACATTGATTATGTCCAATTTTTAATATTAAAATCAAGGCTATGAATTGTGTTTGTATGTGGGGTTTCTGCCTCAAATTTCCCACATACCCATGCTTATATCTTTAGGATAAATTTTTAGAAATTGAATACCTAACGAAAAGAGTGTGAAGATTTTTCTAACATTGACATAGCCATCTAGGCATAAAGACACTCCTAGTTTTACCCTAAGTTTCCTTTTTTCTGAAGCCTGTGAGGAATCCTGTGATTGTCACTACTGAACTTCCTAGCCTCATTTAATTCTTCATCCACTGAGGAGTTAAACACTTCATCATAGAGGAAGTTGATGTGCATTTAGTTTGGAGGTGTTGAAATGATGGAAATTCAAGAGTTAAAACAAAGTGAAAGGAAGTCTGCTCCAGAGGAGTGAAGGGTATAAAGGCAGCCAGCCGCCCAGTGAGCAAAGCGCTGCTTCCATTCATTCCTGAGCTAACCTCCTCTGTAGGACAACATGGTGCTCAAGGTATGGTGGACATTTTATGTGGCTTACTTAAATTGCTTTTCTGGCTTACTTCTTCTTTCCTTGATATCCTTTGTTGCCCTCTCCTTTTAAGTCATTACCTTCTTCTGCTTCAAAGAAATGACATTTTAACTTTTCTCTTAGCCTCTGGGCTACCTAATAAACTGCATAGTGGTTTTCACCAGTGTTTTACAAATAAGAGACATGATTGTCTTGTATAAAATCAGAAAGAAAATGAATTGTTATAAGCCTGTTGACTTTTAACCTCCTAGTCTTATATGTGTCCATTATGACATCGTCTCATGGCACTTCTCTCTTCCCACTGTCTCTGTCCCTTGCAGAAGATAATCTTTTGAAGCACAAGCCTTAACATTTTGGTTTGATGTTCTAGAGAGCTTAGCACAGTGTTAGACACATAGCAAGGATTCATGAAATGCAGGATTTATTCAGTGAATGCATCCTATGCCTTAACTCATACATTAATCACTGTATTTAACAAAAAGGAAATTTAAATGCCATGAGAAAGTCAAGTACACCAGAAAGATATTTTAGAAATTGAATGAATGCAAGGTTCACAGAGTGCTGAGCAGCTGTGTTTGGGCCAAGAAGAGCCACGCATTCTTTGGCACACAGGGTGGTATTTAGGACTTGTGGGGGTCCTGGGAACCCCACATTCCTAAGTCACCAGCAGGCCTTGTGTGAATGGATGGCACAATCTCTCCCGCACGTTGGGGCCACCCCTCCCACCTGCTCCTTGAACATACACTTTCCCCATAAAGCACCCCCGGGTCAGCTCTCACCCTGAAGAAGCTGAATGGTCATTCACTATGTGCCCTCAACTGTGGGACTTATCAGAGTGGGAAGAGAGGTAAAAAAGAGGTAGTTTTGCTGAGAACCATGTATTCAACTGCTACTGGAAACTCTGAAGAGTTTGGCAGATCAGCCCAGTTCTTTTCCCTCTGTTCCTCCCTCTCTTTGCCCCTAAATATGTCTACTCAAATTTCTAGCAGCATAAAAATCTACGTTATTCTTATTTTCTACCCTAATCAGAAACTTGTGCCAGCACCCTTTCTCTCTCCCAGCCAGCTTCTCTCCAGCTTTCTCCCACTCCAAACTCTCCTTACCTTTCTATCAAAGCTATCAGAGGCATAAAACATAGCTTGCCCTCTTCAAAATAGCAGGTATTCCCTGCCTTGATAAATCTGGACTCTCTGATAATAGGACTGGTTAGCGGCCAGGTTGAAGGACTTTCACCTGGGCACTGGTTCCATCTCTGTGACTTGCCCTGGCACTTGAGCTCAGTGTCAGAGAGCCTCAATACTCTAGTCCAATAACCCTCACTCTATAGCTAACATTTCAAAATGAGCTATCGGATGCTCAAGGAGGCAGAGTAAGTTGTGCAACGATGTAATTATCAGAGTAAGAAAGGAAAGCAACCCGATATTTACTAAGTGGACCTAAGTGCTAGGCCTATGGTGAACCCAGACTTAAGAATGCATGCTTTTAACTATACACAACAGATGTTCTCTCTTGAAGATGTGTAGAAAACAAAAGTCATTGTCTATGCATTGGAGAGTTTGACAAGGAAAGGAACTGCAAAGTATTTTGCTGCTTCTGAAATACACATGATCCTTCAAGTTTTTCTTACCTGGTTTTTAGGTAGAAGCAGAATGACCTTCTCTACCAGGATGACCACAGTCACTTCATAGTCAACAAGGTCACACTGAGCCCCTGGTCATTGCCCCAGGGCTGTTCCTCTTTCTGTGTTCTCCCTTTTGGCAACGGCACTGCCATTTCTGCATCCAGGACCTGGGCTCCTGTAGCAGTCCCTTTACTGCCTTTGTCTACCTCTCTCCAAGTCTGTAGAGATATCTCTGCCTTTCTTAAGACAGCGTTGTGCTTCCAGTTAGCCACACGGTCTTTAACGTGACATAAAGGTTGTCTCTTAGTCCTAGGCTGCAAATCCATTCTCCCTCTTATCTCTGTCTCCTGCATGCAGCTCCTCAGCTAAAGTGTGCTGAATTCCCCCCAGCCCCTCACACCACCAAGCCTGGGCCCAGGCTGCTACCTCCACCTTTAACCTCCATCCCCATCCCCTGCATCACTTCCTGCCTGAGTCCTCTTAAGTTTTCATTACCAGATCAGGTATCCACATCTCCAGGCAGCCTCCACCAATAAGAAAGGGCAGCCAGAGCATCTCAAGTCACATGTAATTTTATATTTCCGAGTAACCATATTTTTAGAAGAAATGGATGAAATTAATATTTTGTACTATCTTCCACATATTACCCTATTATTGATATCATTGTGTTAAACATTGATTCAGCATGTAATCAATAGTTTTTAAAGATTGAGATGCTTTATATTCTTTTTTTCCCACAAAATCTCCAAAATTCAGTCTCGATTTTACTCTGATGACACATCTCAACTTGCACTGGCCAAATTTCAAGTGCTCAAATGCCACACATGGAGAGTAGCTACAGTGTTGGACTTGGGAGCACAGAGCACTTGAGAATCACCTGAAGATCCTCATGGAAACAGAATCCTGCCCTCCACTTCCAAAGGTTCTATTTCCAGGGAGAGTCTAACTTTGGTGTTCTAGAGTAATGACCAGAAATATTCATTTTCAGCAAGAATCCCAGGTTCAAGAATCTCACATTCCTCAGACCACACTTTAGAAAACCTGGGCTTTCTAGAAGCATCC